TGCTTATTGAATGTGGCGTTGCATTATCACATTTCTTTCCAGGACCGGAATTGCATTTGCCTGTACTTTCAACTACTTCGTTTTGGGAAAGGTTTCAGACGTACAAATATGTATTTAATTTTCTTGTTTTATCGTACTTTACCACCTTCTGCAAGGTTGCTACTTATTTGACACCCTGTATACCTATAATATATGAGAGTAACATAGAGTTTTCTATTTAGTATACATCCAATTCATTTTCATTGGTTCATTAAATGGAAATAAAAACGGACTTAAGTGATTGCGAAAATGGGCTGTAAAGAAAATTACGTTCTTAATTAAAGAAGAAGTAGAAATTTCCTTGGTTTCGTTACTAATTGCCTCATTAATTTCTACATGATGTGTATTATAAAGCAAATAGAAAAAGCGACAACAGGATGAACGGTTCTATTCATTGTTTATTAAATATAAACTTAAATATGATTTTTAGAAAGCACCACAAATGGCGCGGCAAACGTCATCTGTAGTACGATGCTACATTTTAGGATTACGTACGCTCAAACAAGGTCCATTTAAATATATGGATATCTACTTGCTTAAAGCTTGTAGCATCGTACTACAGATGGCGTTTACCGCGCCATTTGTGGTATTTTCTAAAACGCGCTGTTAAGATAGCAGGTAAAAGTTGGTCTGTGTTCTGTCGGAGCTGTCTGCGACGCGCTGATGAGATCCAAAAAGATACAGACCACTTCGAATTATTTTATTCAATTTGCTTATTTTTAATTTACATTAACCAACCAATTGTCGTTACTCCTTAATTTCGTCAGCTTAAACTAAATTTATATAACTTGAAGCTGATAATGACTTTATCATTATGATTTGCGAATTGTAAACTGATGCCACACACAAATCATTCAAGTATGCTTATTTGTAGTAAATTTATTATCTCTGAGATACAGAGCCGGTGCGGAAATTTATTATGCTGAGCATTATGAATTATTTATACTGTGGATATGCATAATACATCTGAAATAAAGGACATCCTGCTGCAGGTAATCGTTATCATCTCTGCAATCGCTAAAAGTATCTACAGTGTGTTTCAAATACGCCAATTTATTACACAAGAATTACATGTCATGTAATAAAAGTGAACGAAACTATTAAAATCTGTGATTGATATTTATATAACATGATTGATTAGAGGTGGTTTACGATATTTAATTACTCAACATATAGTTTTTGATCAATTATCAATCTCAATTAATTTTTTGATCGCCTTTTAAATTCACTTTTTGATAAGATACTAAAAATTGTTAACATGAGAATATATTATCAACTGATGAGCTTTAGTCGATAATATATGTTTTTAGAACGATTTATAAGGCTTGCCAAATTTACTGAGCGCGCTTTTAAGGTTATGCTCCACCTCCATTCTTACGTATCTACTACCCATTCTAAAGCATTAGTTTCACTTCTCCGAACTGCTAGTTAGATAATTGTACTTTCCTGAAGGAATCATGTTGCTGATACTGAGTATATAGTTTGCTTCTTGCTCTATTATGACTGCTAAATTACCACATATCACCTTTGAATTCGTCAGATCCCAATATCCCATCGAATTCCAGAAGCATTTCCATATTTGTACTTGTAGTAGTACATTATGACATTAATAATACCTACAGGTACATGAAGATAAATTTACCCTAAGGATATGTTTTGACAATTTTCTGCTCTTTAGTCGAAAACGTTTGCTTTTAAATATTTAAGGTTTTAATTTTCACAAGGACATTCATTTCAATGGCAACAGCGTGCTATATGCATGCTGATGAGTAGTTGGGGCAGAATTGCGGTAGACTCAATTAACGTGTTTATGTTTCGTGGTGATTAACAGGCTGGGATTATATCTTGACCACAAAACCCAGCTTCTATACAGCTAATTAGGGTATAAATGACTCCGCCATCTTCCTATTAAATAAAGTTCGGTCCTTCAAAGGTATATCGATCGGACTAATAAAAAAGTAAGCGACGTAAATAATTGAATTTTTATGAAAAGTGAAACGGTAAAGTAGGTTAAAAGTTTATACAAGGAATACCTCATAAAAAGACTCTTTCGGTTCAAATTTGTCCTTCAAAAAGATATTTTACATGAGAGTTTTCGAAGAAAAGTATATTATTTCGGTTATTCTATCAATTTGTCACTTGATGTTGGTATAATTCAGAATTCAATATCCTTTCTTATTAACAATATTATCAAACAAGGACACACGTTTTGAAAATAATATCATTCCGATAATGATATATTGATTGAAGTTCATAAACGTTGGCGAGAAAAGTTGGGATATTGTTAAAGGAGTAAATAATTATTCATTTGCACAATCAAAATTTTGTGAAGCGCGTTCACTTCAACATTCAGCAAAAAAGAACATAAAAGGCAGAATGGAAACTTAGAGAGATCCCATCAATGTTTAACCGTTTCACATCAAAATTCATTTTGATCTAATGATCGGCTTTGGTATTTTCAATAACACGAATGTGTTTTTATTGGTAATCTATTTCATAAATGGTCTCGAAAACGACCAAAAAACGGAATAGTAGTAATTCCTTACAGTGTCGTTGGGTGTTATCAATAACAAATATTATCCCGATCATTGGCATAAAAGGCCAACCTCTTTATGAAATATAACAGCGTCTAATTCGGAAATTAAATTATGTAACATGCAGATTGTGGTTGATGAGGTTTAATCTCTTTAAAATAGTTTATTGAAAAAGTACAAACAGATCAGAAAGCCGCCAGTTACTTATTGTGGAATTCAATAATGTTCATACCCAAACAGAACGAACATTTGTTTAACCTTAGCTTTCTCTGGAAACTGTTTTAGTTGTGGATTTCAGTTTCGAACTCTTCGAAATACTCGTTGACACAGAGAACACTGATCAACCTACTTCCTGCCGTTGAACAGCGTTCTCATTGCATGACGAATTGCTACAGATGGCGTTTACTAAGCTGTATGTACTTATTTATTATTCATTGTAATGGTGGTGACCATTCCTTTTTAAATCGATTGGATTATCACAAGAACGCCAGCCTTAAGACTTCTACTTTTTCCTATTCTGGGATAATCTTCGCATTTCCTCAAAACTAGAGCATCTCGCATCCGTTATTGTTTGTGAACAGTAATCTAATTTAGTCCTACCTTCTTTTTGACTTCCACAACGACCTCTGTTCTCCTATTCTTTCTAATGCCTCCTCATTTCTAACCTAACCATTTCTAATTTTTTCTATCCACGGTATCTTCATCATTCGCCTGTAACACCACATTTCGAACGCTTCTAACCTTTTATTTATCAAAGAACAAATTACAGAATCCTTATGAATGTTTCACATCCATCCTTTGAGCAGCAAAATTCGGTTGCAATGCCGCCTATATTTTATGGTTGCATTCTTACTAAATTCTCTGGGCCGATTCGTTATTAATAAATCGATGTTCTTTATCCAAAAATGGATTGTTCTCTAATTCCCTGTAAATTTATCGTATTCCTTCGAAATGAAATGTAATATCTTTATATACACTGCTGATTTTCTAAAGATTTTCTTTTAATATATTCGATATATCAAACATGGACAAACTAAGCAATGCATTAAATACTTGCCATCCAGCTTCCTGCAGTGTTTATCTTTTGGAATTATGTACGCAAATGTACCCATATATTTGTAATAATAGCCGACGGAATTGCGTTAAAAGTGTATTCAAAATTTAATATGTTAAGAAAATATAAAAATATAATAGAATTTTGTGTAAACTAACGAAGTCTGAAATCGTTTGGAGCCCCCTGACAAACAAATTACTTGAACCAGCTTCTCCGACAAACATAAACAGGAAAAAGAGGGGCTCTCGAAGATACTTCATTCAAAGCTCATTATTTTTTCATTCAAACGCCTCTGGTCTAAAGTGTATTCTTTTTCTAAAACGTCAGGTTTAATTTTCCAGTTTCAGAAACGTAGCCGGCAGTTGTAACAAAACCGTCTCTCGAAAGTCATCCCGTTCAAGTAACTTTCCTAATAAATTTTCGAGAAGCTAATAAAAAGGAAAGCTGAAGGTTTTCATTTAGGCGTTTTGTTTGAACGGTCAACTGCTCAAGATATTAAGAGTTTTTTCGAGGCAAACTTCGCCAAGTTCCACTCCATCGGAGAAGAACAATTTATAGGGAAGCAATGGCTTTAATGCTACCCCCTGTTTTATATAAAAGAAGTAAACGCGTGAACTCAAAAAGCCATTATCTTTCTTTTAAGAAATATAAACTTCTAAGGACACTAAACTCCTCTTTATACGAAATTATATAAAACAGAGAAGACAGTTACCCCGTCAACAAAAAATTAGGCCAAGGAATTTTAAAACAAGAATTAAGTATATAATACTTTTCGGTTTCTGTTCTGTGCTATTATTATTTACTAATTTGGGCGGCGGTGTCCGTTACATTTGAATTTCTGTAACATTTTTATGATTAGGACCTGTACATACAATGAGCTATACATTTGATTGTATTTATTGAGACCCGTCCATATTTTTGCCAATTGTTTTCTACCATCTGCAATACGTCAAATTCGGGATTTTTATTTAAAGAAAATTTCCTGGACATAAAAGTAGAAGTGTCTGCAAGTTACAGAATATTAAATCATTAGACAGGTCTATAAATTTGTTTCCAAGATAAGAAGCCTATTTCAATAATTTATTTCGTCAAAACCGCTTTGGTGAAGGGTCCAAATCTTTTAGAAAACGTTTAAAATCAGTTTAATTGAATTGATTAAAGGTAGCTACCGTTTTAAGCCGAAACAAAAAAAAATTCAATTACTTTCACGTACCGCAACATTCAGCATCTTCCATGCGGTTAATTTACCTTTTGTAGCGCTGTCATGCTGGAAGTTTTGCAAAACAGAAATCTGTCAGTTCACTTCTAAAGGAAACAACATCTGTGTGCACAGCACAACTAATGCGAGTGCATCAGAAGCATCTTTTACGTACCGGAGGTGAGAAAATGAAGAACAACTACGATGAGCAATTCCATTGAAGGTAGAAACGTTGCTTGGCAGGTTTTGGTGTAAAACAACGCGAATGTGCCAGTCTGTAGAGAACGTGTCTCGGATCTAAGGAAACGTGGAAATATTTGAACTCGGCTAATCCTTCATGAAACTTTATGAAGCATCTGTTTCATCATGCTTATTGCCATGAAAGTAGTAGAAGAATTGGAACCATCTTGAACTTTCATTTCAAATGTATCTGCAAATAGAAGAAAAAATCATTAATATGCATGTATTTCTTTTAAAACATCGGCATTAGTACAGCATAAAGGTTCTATACAGTAGGTTCATTCCATTGATCTGCTTAAAATACCATCGTTTTTTGCCGGTTATCATAAATTAACTTTATGTGCTCTGAACTGTCATATAAGAGGACGGTTCAATAGTTTTACTGAGGTGTTCAGATACAAAATGTATTTGTACTGTGACTTCACGGTGACACTCTGTACAACCCAGCCCATGCTTAGCGACGAACTCGTTGATGATGTGGTGAAGCGTCGAGAGAGGGGGATGGATGTATGAGCGTGGCTGAGAAGTGAACCTACCGTATAGAATCTTTATACTAGTAAAAAGAGACTGGATTAGACAACCACTGGCAAAGAGTTTGTAATGTAGGATGTAGGATGTACTGATTTTTTTCATTGTTTAATCTGTGACATGCTCTATACTAAACTATTATAAAACAGTCAATAAGAATACTATTGTCCTAAGAAAAGGTTTGCGAATTATGTGCAGAAAAGGAATCATGTTGGTACATTTACTAGTTTTGTATTGTATAATATTTTATAGATACAGTCATTCTTCGACGGTTTGTATTATTGATGACAAAAATAGTTTAATTTTCTTAATTAGTAAATTATGTACGCAACTCAGATCGTAACAGTTTTATTTTCTTTTATTTACAGTGTAACGGGTTGCTACACTCATGGAACAGATGGTAAACGAAGACACTTGAAGAGATCACCGCAATAACGTCATGCAGATAAAGGTAGGAAATTAGTTATCTGTAAATTATATTTTTGAAATGATTGATTAGTGTTAGATTACTAAATATCCAAAATGTAGGGAGCAGCTTACGAGCCCTGCACTTTTTAACAATTATAACCTTTTATTGACGCACTTCTTTCATATATGCAATTTATTTTTTAATGTTAGTATTTAAAAATTCGTCCACCCGAAGTATCCACTCTAACTCAAATAAACTCAACGTTTTTGCAGCTTCTTCAAAAGAACGATACCTTTCTGTTAGTCAATTCTTCTTCTAGCGTATAGGTAAATACTGACTTCAGTATTTCAAATGAATCTTTGGTTTTCCTTGATTTACTTACTAATTGCAAATGGTGGTATAGATCATAATGCTAATTATACCAACGAACAATTAAAATAAGAGCAACTTCCAGAACTGTATCTTGCCATTTTACTACGTAATACGGGGTCCATTCCATAAGTAATGATCCCTATTTTTTACTGACGCGAGTTTACATCGACACGCGCTCTACCAACTAGGGAAGGTCGTGGGGGGTTTAAGTTTTCAAACTTGACCGAGCTCATTTGGCTCCGAACACCCAGAGCCGAAAGACGTGTTTTTGTAGATCACTGCGCATGAAGTCGTGGCACGACGAGGTGGAGGGTTCGATAGAACAACGTTATGTGATCTAGTTCTGCTTCAGGTTGGGCAAATCTTCTACGAAAACGTTATTAACATGCTTAAAGAGACGTTTGGAGAATTCGTGTATGACCGAGTGGTACACCACTCACTTATCCTGTCTCAAGAAAGCTCACATGAACAAATCCACGACAATAAGAATGCTCAGTCTTTTTTGGAGTGAGTGGGATCATTCACTACGAGTTTGCGCCACGTGGGCAAGCTGTAAATTGTGCCTACTACTTAAAAAGTTGAAAAGCTGGAACCTTTACCACGACAATACTCCTTGCTACACCGGCTTCGTTGTGAACGATTACTTCATGCAGATCAATATTCCGGTAGTCCCTCAGCCTCCGTACAGTCTGGATTTGCCCCCTGTGGATTTCTTTCTCTTTCCATGCTTGAAAGTAGCTCTGAAACGTCATTATTACGACTTGATCGAGGACTACCAAGCCAGCGCCACTACAGTCCTTACAGGTATCCCGAAACAGACCAATTTGCTCAATAAATCTGTCGTTTCTGTAAAAGGTTCATTACTTTTGATACGCACCCTGTATATGAGATCTGAAATGTTTTTGTACTTTGCTGTCGTTTATTTGAATACTTTTTTGTACACCCTGTACAGTGCAGATGTATCGGCGCTGATGTTTCTCGAAATTGCACGTTGTGTCTGTAATTTAACGTGAGAGTAAAGTCGTGTACGTTGCCCCGAAATCATCGATCTTTTCGGGCCCTTCGTTACCCGTCACCTTTTGTATTTGATCACCTTTCATATATCACGAGGAGACTCCGCTTCGTCGCGGCAAGCGACCGGAACTAGTGCATCGGAAAGAGAAACGGCTTTGCAAAGAACACTGCTGCAGCTGATTCCCTTCCGGAAAATATACACGTGCGGAATTTGTTTTAAGACGGAAATGCAGCAAGACGGAACTTTGTACTATGTATTCTGCTTAGAAGACACTTTAGCTAATACGTTTCCCTTTTGAATTGGTTGGAGATTACAAAGAAACCGATGTATTTAGACATATAATTTGCTCAAGGAAAATTTATTTGAAAAATTAATCTACAGCCTTGCTGTCATAGAATGAATTGTTTTAGATACAGTATTTGAAATAATAAATAACAATAGATTAATTGAAAAACACTTTTAACAGAATTTACTTAACATAAAAGACTCAATGACTCTTTTAATCCGTTGGACAAAGTGAACGAACTCTAAAAATAAGAATCACAGAACACGGTTTTAATATTAAATAGAAATAAACGTAAATAAACCCATTGACATCTTGGAATATTGCCTTAAATTTAACCATAGTTTAAAAATAAACATATACAAATAAAAATTTGTTGTAAAAATCAGTAATAATTATTTCGCCGTGCAGTATCTTCTTCAATTGGAAGAATAATATGGCTTGAAACTAAATATAAGTGAATTTACACTAAATTAAATTTGAACACAGAATAGAGAGAAGTGGAGATATAGAATGATACTGAAAATGAATATTCATGTATCTGCTTTAAGTTATATTATTTTGAAGAAGCCCCTGAATGGTGAGATAATAATTGTGGATTTTTACAACAACAATTTTGTAGCTGGGCATTGTTTCTTCATTAATGAATGCCTCGCCCAATCAACCCCTTATAATTTATGCACTAAATCGTTGAAATAAAGAAAACTGAGACGTTACTAATAGTACGGCTTGAATGCCAAGGGTAAGAGACGATCATAATGTTATATATTTTTTTAATGAGATGCTTCGCGCAGGTAGATTCCGTTCTGATTAAAGTTATTTTTAGTCTCATGGATTTTTGAGTTGACGGTTCTGCCTTTTTGTCCAATGTAAAGCGTGTTCCAGTCTCCACATTACACCGTACCTCATCAGTCCTAAGGCTGGTTGGACACGCACCTCTACTCTTTCCTATTCTGAGCTAATCTTCGCATTTACCCAATACTACAGCAACCCACATCTAATGTAGGTCTACCTCTACTCCTCTCAACTCCTGTTTCTGCCTCTAATAGGTACCTATAGGTTCCAAATTTTTATTTACTTGATCAATTAGATCTCCAATACGTATTTTACAGATCTATATGTGAATATTACCATAATTATTTGAAAAGTATTGTCCAGACTGCACAACACAATGTAACGCAACGCATCGTTAAAAAAGTTTCGTTCCATGTCGAAAGTTTTCAACTAGGCCACTAGATACTGCATGAATGGGCCGAACAGTGAATTAAATTTTCGCTCAACTTATTGTGTTTTCCATCAATAGAAGTGGAACTTTTGACTTCGTTTCTGGAGCGCACGTAGAATTCAGCCAGCCAGACATACATACGTACACAAGGAAATATGATCGAATATTGCGTCCGGAGTGAAGTTCCATTTCTTTATAAGCACTCAACGTGACGGCGGCGCCATCCGCGCCCCTTTCCGCTGCGACGAAAAGGAGCGCGAGACATCCCGTTCGGAATTTATTTTCTGAAGTACGCATTGGTTTATATGGGATTCGGCATCCCGCTTCAAATGCATGTGTAGAGCGTTCTACAGTTGTGAATGTACATTTCGCTGCAAGGAAGCTGATGCCGAAAGTAAAACATAAATCTATAATGTAGCTGGCACATAGCATACGTGGTAGAGAGTAAAGAACATTATGTTCATGGTTATCGCTTTGCCTGGGGTTATCCCCTGTTAATTTGGCGAACATATATATAGCATTAAATATATGAAATCCTATGACATTGTTAGTTTCTTAATAGTGGATTAATATGCAATGCAACCCACTACAAACTACCTCAAAAGTACCTGTCACCTCTCGTAGCTTATTGGTTAGAGCATTGGTGCGTAAAGCCAAAGGTCCCGGGTTCGATTCCCGGCGGGGGTGTGACAACAACAACAATTTTTCCCTCATTAATTTGAGGTAGTTTGTAGTGGGTAAATAAAAATCGAAAAAATGATTTCAAATTAATATTGTATATATATATCCGCAAGTTAGGAACTACCATAGTTAGTTCCTAACTTGCGAATGGGATTGAGATATGCTCAATCAGCGCACACTGGCGAAAAGCACTGCTACCAGATCCATCTAGAAAGTTAGCAAGATCCCTACAATTTTCTGGAGCGGGTAGAACGTGTTTACCCTTACCAGTTAACAGGAAGGAATCCCCACGTGGGGATCTCGGACCTCTCGTAGTATCAGTCTACATCACTGATAGGATAATCGAAGGACAAGTCCTTCTCCCAGTCGAATTAGTTGCTCCATGGCAGTGGTAATCCTTTGACTCCGGCGGTCACTCATGTCCATCGGGCTACCTAAACCTCCTGGACGTGGTACCTCTACCACACATCTTTACAAAGACTGCGAGCTTTTTCTGACTGCGGCTAACCTTAATCTAGAGGTCCAACTCTACCCTCAGGACTTAATTCGGATGCTAGGATTCTAAATGGCAGTACATTGCCATCTAAAGGTAGTGCTAACTCAGAATTTCATTAACATTTGCTTTGGGTTGTACATTGACAAAATTCCGTCTATTTATTGATACCCACGTTTTTACC